AAAAAAAAAAAAAAAAAAAAAAAAAATCACAGAATAGGGCAGCTCTCTATTACAGTGGGGACAGATTCTTAATTCTCCTGGACTAGAGAATAAAAATGAATCAAGAAGGAAGAAAACTAGCTGGGCTTGGTGGCTCATGCCTGTAATCCCAGACGTTTGGAGGCCGAAGCAGGAGGACTGCCAAGAGTTCAAACTCAGCCTGGGCTACACAGTGAATTCAAGGCCAGCCTGAAATAAGTAGCAAGATGTACTCTCAAAAACAAAAACAAACATCAGAAGTAGAAAAAAAAAACCAAACTCACCAAATGAAGAGGGACAGAGCTTTTCCTTGGAGTTTTGTTTTCCGCCCCCAGTGTCAGCAAGCTCTCCTTAAACTCTGAACAAAACCATTTTGATTCATCGGCCCCCAATGAGCCAATGCTTGAAAACTGACCCACTAGGGGCCAGCATTCGGTGTTAGGTATAGATGTGCCATGTTCTTTCAGAAGCTGTCACAGAATAAAAATGACTGCTATGGTCACTCAAATAATAGGAACACAAATGTCTAATACCTAAAAACATAGATTTCTGCTTTTGGAAAGCTTGATTGTAAATATTAGCAATGAATTTCAGGCCCATACATATGTATTTTTCTCCTTTTGAAAATATTTTTAAAATATGAAAAATATGCATTTATTAACATAGTTGGTGGCCAGAGACATGTTTCTTTCCAAAGTTTTTTGATTTGCACTAAAAGGACATAAAAGGCTCAAAACATATTTTAAAAGATTCATTTTAGTAGAAATGCTCAGATAAACTGTGGCAAGAGATTAAGGGCATGGTGAAGCGGGCTGGATAAGTGAATGTGACTTGTTAATCACGGAGATACAGAAACAATTCAGAAAATATTTGGAAATTTTGTCCACTTGTACATGCATCGAGTACTTTCCCAGAGGTTGGAGATGGCAAGAAAAATACAGTAAGCCATGGCTCCCGCCCCAATGGTGCTCATATTCTGAATGATGTTTGTTAATTTAATATGCACAATTTTCCTTAACACAGCTTGGGCATATTTATACACACACACACACACACACACACACACACACACACACACGCTGAAAAGCCCCAAGTTCTCAACTTCCTACCTTACTACAGCTTAGTGTAGGAGACAGAACTGAAGTGATAACTACACGAGCCAATTTGGACTGTGGGGCTCAAACCCCAATCATTCAGCTGCATGGTCTTGGATAAGGGCCTGTGCTGCGATGCACTGCGGTGCAGAGATCATCTGCTTGCCCTTCTGGGAAAGGAGCTGTGATTCAAAATGAATTACTACTGTGTCTGAAAAGTGGTCCGAGAGCTCCACAGGTGCTATTCGACTTTCTGGAAGATTATGAACATGCACAGTTGCTACTATTGGGCCTGCCTACACCATTAGCCCATAATCACTCATCCTTACAGAATATTTAACCATGTTCCTGGCTTTATTTTATATTCACTGCTTCATGTAATTTCTACACAGTTCTAACATAGGTAGTATAATTGGGGCTATAGCACCACTCCCCGCCACTCACCTGAACCTGGGCAATGCCCCACGGCCAACACCCTGACTGTTGTCCTAAGGCCTACTACCCAGGGGCAGAGACTGAAAAAAAATAAGACCCCTAGGCCAACCTCGGAAAATTCCAAAGTCCCAAACCAGGAAGCACACACACTTGATTCTCCAGCAAGACCTTCAGTAACTGTTCTTCACCTGGAGTTCTCTGAAGATTAATGCATATGTAATGCACCTCACATATCCAATTCCAAGTGAGTGAATTATGGGAAAGGATATGCACAGTACAGTTGACTTGACTCAGCACCCTGTCAATCATGCTCCGGAAGACCCAATGGGAGATGCTCTAGACCCTTTGCAACATTTTAAATTCTTAAGCCCAATGGCCTAATGCACTTCCATTTTTACTTTCTTATTTTCCACTGGCGTTGTGTCCTCTCACTCAGAGCGCACTGTCACCTGATTAAAATGGTTGCTTTTTCTTACTGTTGCGTGCCACTCATCAAACACAAGAATCTAGAAACCTGTCTGGGACCCCATTACCCACAGTATTAAGCCTGGGAGAGTTGTGATTAATATGCCCATTTTATAGATGATAAGAGAGGCAAGTTAAGGAACAAGTCAAGGTCACAAGGCTTGTATACAACAGGTCAGGATTTGAACTCAGGTATAGATATTTGTCCCCATAACCATGCACAGAGCCAGAGGGGACCACCCCTTGTCTGGGTCAAGCCATAAAAATGCCATCTCTGAAATGGTGCTCGTTTTAACCTCTGATCGTGTTAAAAAAAAAAATGGAAAAGATTTCATTAACAGTGAGACTTTCACATTATGTACAGGTAGACTATCCCAAATCCAAAAATCTGAAGTCCAAAATGCTCCAAAACCTGAAACTTTTTGAGCACAAAGATGATGTCACCGTGAGAAATTATACTTGACTTCATGAGTCACAATCAAAACAGCTATACTAAAAATACTGTATAAAGTTACTGTTAGGCTATGTATTTAAGGTGTACATGAGATAAATGAACTTTGTGTTTGGACTTGGGTCCCATCCCAAAGGTATCTCGTTATTGCACGGAGAAGTAGCACCCAGTTTGTGTCTCTTGATTCCCAGGAATGGACTCAAGGACAGGAGAGGTCAAGAGTAGGAAAGGTTTATTGAGAGAAAGCTCCTAAGAGAAAGGAGGGGGTCCCAAAAGTGGGTAGCTGCTGAGGGACTCTGTCCAAGGGCATTTTATACAGCAAAATCACAACTTGGGTAACTAAGGGTTAAACTACAATCAACTTACAGGATTCTGAGCATAGTCGCTTAACTAATATTGATCCAACAGGAAAGCGAGGCATACAGCAAGGGTATGTAGCGAGCATCATTAACTTTAGCTTATCTATAATTTCTAATGTAGAAAGAGCAACGGCATCCCCAGTTGGGATGCTCTGGTCACCCAACTATGTATGTGAGGCATCACCTGGGATCACTGGACTGGGTGGCTGCTAATTGAGTATAATCTCAAGCTGCTGTCTATCTCTCGGGAGGCCTGCAGGCCAGGCCAGTGCACCTGCACTCGAGGCCTGGCTCTCTTCGAATTTACCTCCAGCCCCAATTTTGCTGTGTCTCATCCTCCTGCATTGACTCCCTCGAGGGCCTGATCCCCTCTGACTGCCTATTCCTTCCTATCTAACTTAGCTGTCTGTAACGCACACAAATAGTCCAAAATCTTTAACAATCTGAAAGCCAGATCTTCTGGTATAAGTATTTTGGATCAAGTGATATACAATCTGTATATAATTTATGGAATAAGAGGTAAACTATTCTCTGTTCTTGTTTTACTTGCACATTAAAAAAATCCTTGATATACAAAGCAATCAAAATCTACAATACTTGTTTGAATGCAAAACCTCTATCTTCATTATAGGAAACGTAAAACCTACTAAAGGTAAAACAAAACAAAACCAAAAAACTACTGAAGGTAATATCTTTATGATATTTAGGAATCTGCTATTCCCTCCGAATTGTACTGGAAATATTGTGAAATCACTACCAAACTACACCATCATAAAGGAAAAAGGAGAAAGAATAGATAGTAAATTTTTTAAAAAAAATATTGAAAGTAAGAGTTCTTTTACCTTTCTAAGCCGAAAATGTCCCCAGTTATCTTTCTGACTTCCTTGAAAACGTCCAGGAGTTGAGCCAATAAGGTAAACCCTAAAATGAAATAAAACCCAAGTTATGGGATACAGTCATGTGCTTTGCCACCTTAAAAAAAAAATCACAAAATATACATGAGAGCTCATATAACCTCTACTTGTTCTAGGAGCCTATCCATTTCCTTGTGGTGCTTCCTCAACTGTAACCGATACTCTAAAAACTCATTTTCCCTCATGTAGAGGTACAAGATCCCAACAATGAATGTAATTGTACTGTATCCCTAAAATGTACCAATAAACTCAATTAAAGCTGAAAAAAAAAAACACCTCATTTTCCTGCAAACCAGGTGATGGTGGGACACAAAGGTGTGACATACCAGGCAAAGAACTCACTATATTTAGAGTACGCCAGAGGAGGTTCAGGGCTCTAAGATTCCCTGGCTGCCTCTCCAATGCCCGAGACCCATGAGGAGCGGACATGGAGCGAATCTGCTGGCGTCCTCTCCTTAGATCACGATGCAGAGCCCAATACCTCTCCACCTGCTCCCCAGCCCCTGAGCTCTAGACTTGTGAGTCTCTAAAGTTATGGACACCCTGGACTGGCAAGACGACACGTACTTTGTTTCAGAGAGATCATGCTCCTGGATGGTATCTATCCATTCTTGGAGGGGAGGGGCATTATAAGCCGTCAAGTAACTGATGAGATCAGCTTTAAAATGTGTTTTTGATTCTCCAGCTCTGTGTGTTCCATGGTCAATTCGTGGGTACAAGGGGCTCAGCCATATTCTGCAGGAGGAAAAAGACAAGCTTCAACACTCAGGAATGTAACTGATCGTGACAATACATCTCTACTGGCTATGCATACTCCTAAAGAGGCAAATTCTCAGCATGTATCTCCACGTGGAAAGTAGCGTGATTCTTAGGGAATGTGAAACAAATCTGATCACACTGCATCAGTGGCTTCTCATATTTGGAATCATGTTTGAATTATGTTTTACACATACATAGCTGTAGATTGTTAGCAAAGGGACTACACAGAGGTGGAGGAAGCAGCAAAAGAGCACTTTAGGGACAAGTGGGTGTAGCTCAGCAGTGGAGAGGTTGGCCCTGGGTTCGATCCCCAGCACTGCAAAGATCAAACAAAATGCCCTCCCCTCAAGAAAAGACAGGAAAGGAAGAAAAGGATAAACTGAATGTCCTGGCTTTTAACCTTTCTCAGCACGAACAGTGAGTGCCAGGAAGTACACAGGCCCTTCCTTACGAACCCTTGTGTTTTTTGGTGCCAGTCTTCACGGATGATGTTGGAGGTGTGGATGACGACCCGGAGGCCTTCTTCGTACAGTAATAACATCATTTTACTTCAAAAACAGAAAGGGGATCAAAAGTATCAACACGACTTCCCAATATGCAATACCTTTCTAATAAAAATGTAATAAATACACAAGTAATCAAAATACATGGTGAGTATTTAAATTTTAATAGTACAATAAAAGACACAATGTTATTAATCCACCCCCAAAATACTCTCCATCACCCTGAACACACTTATCTCATCATTCTTGTCGCTTTCTGAAGCAGTTTTAGAAGTCCTCTTTTGTGCCTTTACAAGGTGTGATTTAAAAAAAAAAAAAAAAAAAAAGAGGAGCCAGGGATGTAGCTCAGTGCCCCCCACCTCCCTAGTTAAGTGCAAGGTCCTGAGTTCGATTCCTGGTACCAGGGGGTGGAAAATGGTGAATGCTTGCTTGCTGAGTGCCATCCAAGGGAAAGGCAGGCTCATAAAAACACTACATGCAACATGTCTTCATCTACCTTATTCACTGGCTCTGGCACTAATGACTTCTGGTTCTTTCCAAAAGTCTAAATAAGCGCAAAAGGTAACTTTTTTGAATTGATTTAGGACACTGAGGCAGCCACAACAGTGTAGTTAAAGACACAAATGAGGACTTCCAGATCTATTTCAGAAGGTGGTAAGAATGATGGGATGTGTGTTCAAAGTGAGGGAGAGTATTCTGAAGGAGATTAACATCAGTGTGCTTTTTACTATAATAAAGAAAAAATTTAAACTTTTACCATATTTTTTGAACACAATTCAGAGATAGAGAAATTCTCAAACCCTTTTATTACCCAAACTTTTAACATTCCTAATTTCCCCTTTTACACATTATTGTTAGGGAATTCTGACAGGTAGAAAGCGACCTTCCAAAAATGCTCAGCACGCCTGGTGGTCGATGAACGTTCACCCCATTCTGTCTGCAGCAGTCCTGGCATTTCAAACCCCTCCGGCCTGGCCCCTACTACAAGTTCAACATCACGTTATTATTAATGGACAATGGGAGACTTGTCCAGGGTTTTTCCAAGTAGGGGCACAGCCTCTTGCTGTGGTGCATCTCACATGTTTTAACAACTGAAAGAGAATAAATCAAGAGTATACTGCATATATTTAAAGAAAGCACTGGCTCAGGAAACTTTGGTTTCAGTACATAGATATGTCCACATGCAGCACACTAAGACATATGACATATAGTATTTGGTTTTTTTAAGCTGGGATTGATTGAACTTAGGACCTTGTGCTTGTGAGGCAGTGGCACCACTGAGCTAAATCCCTATCCCTACGGTATTCCTTTTTCTTTTTCTTTTTTTGAGACAGGGTCTCACTATGTAGTTGAGACTGACCTAACTCATTATGTAGCCCAGGCTGATCTCGAACTCACAGGGATCCTCCTGCCTCAGCCTCCCAAGAGCTAGGATTACAGGCGTGTGCCACCACGCCCGGCTCCTACAGTACTTCTTATTGTGGGTTGCAACTAAAAAATTTACAAGATGCTTCTTCCTCTTAGACTGATTTTTCTGTATTCCACAGGTGACAGCCCAGTCTTCCCTTTGTTCCCCTGACAAGTGAGAGTGGTTAAAACCTTTCTTTTCTGGGGAAAGAGATCTTCCCCAGCCCCCTCATCATCACATCTCTTCTGTTCTTTCCAGTGAGAGAGACAGAGTAAGGGTTTTTCCATTTGAAGTCTGAAGACCCAAGTCCCATCTTTGTCATTTAGAAGCTGTATCACCCCAGCTGAGCCATGCAGTAACCCCAAATCTTTGCTTTTTACTTGGAACATGGAAGATCAAATCTCCCCACCCCCTGGGATTGCTGTAAATGAAATCAAAATGCTTTTTGTCAAATCTTAAACAGCTATTATCATGATTCCTTTAGTACCTTGCTTAACTGTGTAATCATATAAGATGATCTTTAATCTCCTGTTTATCTTATTACTTCAGTAACTTAGTTTTCTCTACTTGTCTTATCATTACTTCAATAATCTAGTTTTCTTTCCTTAACTAGTGCCACTTCTCAAGGTTGTAATTCTGTCTCTTATTTAACATTTTTCACTGCTGCTTAAAACTTACTGATGTAACTTAGCTCACATGTGACAAAAAACCCATGGGTTCTCCTCAAATAAGCAATCACATGACTACATACTATTTGGGCAGGGTAAAGCAAGCCTAAAAAGATGAAGTGCGGCAGGGGGTGGGGGAGCCAGGCATGGTGGCACAGGTCTCTAATCTCAGCATTCTGGGACACTAAGGCAGGATGATAGCAAGTTTTAGCCCAGCCTGGGCAACTCAGTGAGACTGTCTCAGAATTTTAAAAGGCTGGAAGTGTAGCTCAGTGAGAAGGCCCCGGGTTTAATCTCCAGGGCTGGGGAAAAAGGAAAAAAAAAAGGACACAAGAACAGAAAAGAGAATGAGATTTTTTTTTGTTTTGTTTTAGTTCTTGCCAAGATAAGAAATTAACCTAATCTAGCAAATAGTAAATTAATGCAGTGCTGGAGAAATGACAGCTGCTGAGCCATCTTCTTTCCAGTGAGGAAATGTCTCGCTGAGATCTGGGTGAATTTACACTCACGTTTGCCACATTAGCAGCTCATTATAATTAAGGATAAGCCAGTTATGGATTCATGCTATAAGCTTTACAAATACTTCCACTAATCAAGGCATCAGTCATCTGGAAAATCACGCACTAATGTCAGTCTTATTATACAAATAGAACTCTGAATTTAAAGGAAGCCATATTAATTTTCTTCATAGACTAAACAGGGTCGACAAGGCAGAACCTGGTAAGGAGGCAGGACCTGGGAATGGTGGCATGTGCCCGTAACCCCAACTACTTGGGAAACTGAGGCAGAAGGCCTGGAAGTTTGAGGCTAGTCTAGGAAGCTTAAGACTGTCTCATTAAAGAATTTAAGAAAGGGCTGGGGTGTGGCTCCGTGGTACAACACTTGGCTAGCATGTGTGAGGCCCTCGATTCCATCCCCAGCACAGCAAAACACAAAATAGGTAGAGAAGGGGAAGGAGTGGGGTCTCCCCTGAAGAAGTCGGATCCACCGTACTGTCTGAGCAGTGGGGGTGGCAGGAGGCCACTTCCCAAATGTGAAGCTAGGCCCACAAAGGGGACTGTTGGGTCCCTACATGCCAGCACTGTTCTCAGCCATCCAGACAAGGACGACTTTCCCATTTTACAACCGCGGAATCTGTAGCTTCAGGAAGTTGTCCAGGTCACAGGGCAATCCCATGCAGAGCCTGCTGGAGTCACACACGTCGTCAATGTGCTACCATCACTATGAACAGCTTTGACGGTGCTGCTGGTGGCAAGAATGGGCATTTGATGGTACTGGGGAAGAAGATTGGGGAAAACAGAGTCTTTGCAAGAAAGAGACCAGTTAGAAGTAGGTGGAAAGTGGCGTATACTGTGCACCGTGACTCACTCCTTCCAGCTTGCAGAGTGACATTTGCCTTTCAGCTGCTTCGTCCTTTTCCTTCCATCTATTCTAAGGTCTTCAGAGATAACTGTTCCCAGCCCAAGGAGGGCGGTGCTATGGTTTATACAGCAGATGTTCCCCCAGAGCCTCACGCACTCGTACGTGGGGCTTTTGGAAGGTGAATGGATTACAGGGGCTCACAATTTGACTTGCTGCTGGGTGAGGTCAGAAGAGGTGGCCAATGGGGATGGGGCCTGGAAGGGTTTATCTCCCGCTCCAGCTCCTCCCTTCTCTCTTTGGTTCCCCTGCCATGCCATTTTGCCTTGGAGCCAGCCGACTCTGGACTGAAATCTTTACAAACTGTGAGACAAAATAAAGTTTTCTTTTACATTGTGGGTGCTGGACATTGTGTCCCAGCCATGAGAAAGTGACTAAGGTTGCGGGGGCTCTTGCCATCTTAAAACTCTGTGAGATAAACCACAGGTTTGTACGGTGTGCTATAGAAACTGGACAGAACAGCTGATCCTTGCCAGACTGTGAGCTTCAGGAGGCCAGGCCTGCATCTTGGTTATCTCCATGTGCTATGCGTCCCCCAGCTCAGGTATGAGCCACTGAGATCGCCTCAGGCTCTTGCTGCCAGCTCCACCCTGCAGGCTGCGAAGACAGCTTATGTCCCACTGCCACGAGCTGGAAGGACTTTCTCCTCCTTTCCTCTTGACTCATCTGTGGTTAACTTCTCCTACCAAAAGACAAAAAGCTGCAGGGACAAAAACTATCTTCCTGTGTGTGACTCAAGAGCATAAGAGGTATTTAATGAATACTTTGTAAAACAAGAAGCAACCAGAAGTAGTTTCAAGATGTGAGCTTGGGATACTGGCATTTCAACAAAATGTAAATACAGATTCTTTCTAGTTGGGAAACGTTCTATTAAGTGTATTTCCTGGAGAATTTTAAACTTTGAATTAAAAACTGTTAGATGTTAGGGCATAAGGCTGGGTGAGCAAACAAGAATGAACTTAAAGTTAAAATAAATGAGTTCTATTCCTGTCTCCGGCCAAGCAAAATCAGCTTGCTTACTCTGGGCCTCAGTTTTCCGATCTATAAAATTAAAAGGACCAAAAAATATGCATGCACGCATGAGAAAATTATTCTAAAGGAGCTGTCTTAAACTGGGCTGGCTAGTCCTCAAGCTGACAACTTTTGGTAAAATAGTTTTCCTTTCTACTGTACTGTGGAGATGACCATCAGCGTGCTATTAGATGCAGCTCATGCTTCTCCAAATCAGAACTTTGTAGAAGAAAGGGCGCCTACAGGCACAATACTGTGAGACAGGAGACTAGGACTTGGCAAAGCTGGCCGGGGAAGCAGGCATGATCTGTTAATTACAAAATCCCAAAACACAGGTGCAGAACAGTTCCTGAAGTCCTGCATGTGGACTTCTCCTGAGAACTTGAGTAGGTCCTCAAGTGGATGGCCTACACCTGACATCAGCCTGAGGCATGGGAAATACAGAAAGAACAGTCCACACTGAGTTTTTGCCATTGTGTTGTCTCTTACAGAAGGGTGTACTTGTTTTCTTACATTTACCTGGCCCAAACTTGCTCTGCAGAGCCTTTTTGTTTTTCCCCTACCTTTACTACAACTTTGCTACTGTTTGTGCTTGTCTTGACCAATTCTTTGCTCAAGACAAAACAACAACAACAACAACAAAAAAACAACAAAACTAGAAACTAGAAACCCAAAATCTGGGGTGGGAACTGCACATGTCGAAGCATCAATAATCACAAGGACCATATAGCCCTAATCTATTCCTTCCAAGCCAGGTACACAAGTCCTGAACAGAAGGCAGATGCTTCAGAATCAGAGGTTTATACTTTTTTCATGCCGAGAGCCAGAATCTCAGTATTAAATATTAAAGCCTAATATTAGAGAACAACTCCATTCAATCCACTACTGATAGTTTGTTTTTTTTCCTTCTCTCAGCAAAATGATCACACATTAGTCTCTGTAAGGGCATTTTTGCAATACTATGCTTTGATGTGTTAAAATCATATCCTCCCCACTTCATAAAAGTTGCTTACGTGTGGTGTGTTCCAAATGCAATATCCAACTTCGCCTAGGATGAAAAAGAAGTCATTTATTTAAAAGGAAAAAAAAGCCTCAATAATATTCCTATCTATTGGAAAATTTTAAAAGGGTAAACTTAAAACAAAACAAAACTGTGTCTACTGCCCTCTACTGATAGCTTTTATTGTAGCATCTAGTGAGGCTCATAAAATTTGGTTCTCCAGAATGATTTAATATCACCGTATTTTAAATTACAGTAATTAGGAGTTAGAAATTTAATTTCCTTAGTTGTCAAAAAGCTAATAAAACAAATTTGATTCCACACAAAGGTTTAAAATTAGGTGTCTGGCTTGTTATAGAAGAACTTAATATACAGTTTCCAGAGCTTATTTAAAAGAAACATTGAATGTGATGCCAACATAAAGGTGATAAATAAAAATAGAAATTTTCTTAGACTGAAGACATAGCAAGTGCTGAAAAATAGAGACATTAAATCCATTTCTGTCTTCAAGTAATCTCTTTATGAACAAATGGAGGGCATGTGGAGAAGCAAAATGTTTTACCAGGATTTAGGACAGTAAGATCTTGGTGGAGAAGGTGTGAGCTCTGGAAGAAAAGAAATCCTGTCTTCACAAGTTAATATGACTTTGAAAAACACCTCTTTTTATGCCTCAGCTCTCTCTTCTTTAAAACAGGGTGTTGTTAGCTGGGTGTGGTCGTGCACACTAATCCCAACACCCTGAGAGGCTGTGGCAAGAAGATCACAAGTCCAAACCCAGCTGGTGCAATACAGGGCGACCTAGTCTCAAAAAAGGTGGAGGAGTCTGGGGATGTAGCTCAGTGAGAAGGCTCTGGGCTCAATGTCCAGTTCTACCCCCAAAATATTAAGACTTAATCATCAGGAATCAATAAGAAAATACATATAAAAGGGGGCCAGCATACAGTAAGCTCTGTACACAGTAACAATCAGTACTACATACTCCACCCACCTACCCCGACAGAAGAGGGGGACAGTAACGGGCACTGGGACACACATGGGTACAACAGGCCCCGCTGAAAGACGCCTCCCGACCGGAAGTCCAGGTGACTGCACTCTTTCTCTTGTGTTTGGGGATGCCAACAACCAGTGTGTGCTCGTGGGCTCTGGCCATGGGGGAGAGAGCTGGGAACTGATTTTCATGGCTTTAAAATTACAAAATTAGAAGGAAGACTCACTTTGTAAGCTGATACTTAGCTGAGAAAGAGCAGTAGGCCAAAGACCTGGCTTTTTTTCTGTACGAGTTACATGTTTTGTGGGCAAGTTGAAGCACAAAAAACAGATACCTGATGAATGCTTTTGGTGGGCTAATGCACCAAATTCTTTAAAACTCTGTGATGAAGAGCATTAGTAATCCTTTCCAAATGTAAGAAATTAGGCTTAAACAATTCGACTCAAGCGACAAGAACAGAATGACACAGTGCTATGGGTTAAATGTTAAGTGCCACCCCCATTCATACATTGTTCCAACCCTCAATGTGATTGGGAGAGAGGAACTTCTAGAGTTAAAGAAAGACTCGTGTGTGTATAATCAATTGTGAATAGTGTTCTCATAAGAAAAGACACACGAACGGTTACATGGGCCCCCTACCTCGCTCTGCTAAGCGTGGACACCATGTGACAGTGGCCATCCACAAGCCAGAAAAGGGGCCCTCCCCAGGACCCAAATTGTCCTGCAGCTTGACCTTAATTTCCTACTTTCTAGAACAGTGAGGAATAAATGTGTTAAGCTGCACAGGAAAAAAGTCACCCAGGTGTCTTGTTAAAACCCAGGCAGCCTGACCCTGGCTACTACCATAAGGTCTCAATCTCCACCCAGCCTTGGCCCCCACATCTGCAAAGTGGGGAAAAATGTTACCATCCCGATTCTTTGACTAATGTGCTTCTGCTGCAGTGACACAGTGCTGCTAGCAAAACTCAAGAATTTATCCTAAAAATGAGATATAAAGGCATTTCAAAGGGTAGGGCCACCCTTTTGTACCTGGAACTAGGGTTGAGCCCTGCACACAGCTCTTGGCGCCTTTCGCCCTCTAGTGGCTGATTCAGAGCTTGTTACCAAGAGCAGGGACTGCTAAACTTTTCAGTACAGATTGCACTTGGAAACAAGAACCCCCGCCCTCTATGCCCCCACCAACCAGGAACCAAACTCAGGAACTTGTGCTTGCGAGGCAGGTGCCACGCCACTGAGCTAAATCCCCTGCTTAAAACAATCACCGTTTTTCAGGATTCCTTTTCTATTAGCCACTTGTTGTTGGGAACACACACAGTGGCATTTAGGTGCCTGCTGAGCACAGGTAAACCTCTGTGCAGAAGATGAGCCACATGTTGGGTGGATGGATGAAGGCGTATTTGGAAGCCACAGTTACAGAAAGTGCAGTGGGTTAAATGAGGAAAGATATTTTAGGGTATGTTTAAAGCTGATCTGACTGAGCTCTCACACTGCTTTAATCTTAAACACACATATCATTTACACTTGGAACAAGAGTGATAAAATGTGAGTTGAAATTCTTAAATCTTGCATGACTGAAGAAAAGAAGAACCTAGAAGGAAAACAGCAAATAAACGAAGCCTGGGAACCATGTCTCTGTATTATAAGAGCAGAAATCTTGAGCCAATCTCACCAAGTTGACAACAAAGAGAATACAGTTATAAAAGTATTTTTTGCCATGTTTTCTCATGAATAGACCACTAATCCCACTAAAAGGAACATGAAAAGATGAATGTTCCACCAGCTAATTCATAACCACCATTTCTACAAATGCAAAAAATTCTTCTGAATTCCTTTTCTTTTCATTTCACCTGCTTTGTGCTCAAAATGACGCATGAAATAAGAGATTGTTCAAGATTCAGAAGTTCAAGATTTATTTGGTCACAATGTAGGCTGACTACCAAGTTCGAAGAGAAAATTATGGGAGACCACAGAGAACCTGCGCAATAGTTTTTCAGTATGTGTCCTTTCTTTTCTACTTTGCATTGGTTCCAGCAAAGTAAGCAGATATATCTATTGTGAAACCATTCACTGGGCTTGGATCACATGTAGTGTGTGAGTTGCTAAAATTTCTTAACAGGCTTTAAGCTATGCGTCGCTCCAGTATAGACCTCAGGTGCAGCAAATGTGAAAAAGAGCTGAAGATGATGGCTAAAGTATCAATAGCAGCAAAGGCCTGCGGCCGCTGCATTATAACCAGAGGCCCTACTCGGTGCTGGTGCTCAGGTGTGGAGAGGCACAAGCAGTCAGTTCTGTTGGTGCCCATCTGTAATCCCTGCACTCTAGGAGGCTCAGGTAGGAGGATTGTAAATTGGAGCCCAGCCTGAGAAACTCAGCAAGAACTTGTCTCAAAATAAAAAATAGAAATGGCTGGGGACGTAGCTCAGTGTGAAGGGGCTTAGGTTCAATCCCCAGTACTTTAAAAAAAAAAAAAAAAAGTACCCAGACAAAAGAGCTGCAAACAATACTAGTGGGAAGGGAAAAGACATGGATCCATGCTGCATGGAGCACAATTGATGAATGCTGAATGCTTACACCTGGAAAAGAGAGACTTGAGGGACAGGATAGATTATTCTGAATATAGGAATCATTGGCAAGTGGAGAGAGATTTACTTCATGGGTTCAGAGGAGGAAAAAAAATTAGGACCAATGGGTGGAAGTTACAAGCATGGAGACGTTTAAAGTTAAGATAAAGAAATGTGGGAGACTGCCTGCAAGACAGCTGGCTGCTTGCATTGCAGTTCCCTGAGCGAAGGAGTTGCTATGTTGTAAGTTCTGATTGGCCGTGATCGGCTGCCATCTTATGGCATTATTTATAATAACTATTTTGTAGAGCTGAGTTTCGCTTTCCAGAAAAAGCACCTGTTTCTTGTAAATCATGTGTATTCTGTGGAGCCATAATTGTGGCCTTGTACAGTTATCCTTGAGATTGTTTTTCATCCTTGAAGTTGTTTTTACTTTCATATTATTGCCTGATATAAGTGTGAGAGCCGTCTGGCAGATAGTAGTAGTAGTAGTAGTAGTAGTAGTAGTAGTAGTAGTAGTAGTAGTAGTAGTAGTAGTAGTAGTAGAAGTAGTATTAGAAGTAGAAGTAAAAGAAGAATAAAGAAGAAATCTGTTTGAATCTGAGCATGACTCAGTGTGTTTACTCTCGATGAATCCTCTCAGGTTTGGGGCCTGCTGGCAGGACCCTGACATCGCGGCTCGCGACAAGTGGCGCCCGAACAGGGACCTGAAGGATAACCGAGGGTCCGGACCCAGGTAGGCTCTAAAGAGAGAGTGACAATGCTCCGAGGGACAACGGCCGCACCTGATCCTCGCGGTAAGTAAGCTGAGACCCCACGAAGGGTAGCTGAAGGAGTTGATCCTATAAGTTTAAAAGGTAAAAATATGGGACAAGTAACCTCCCAAGAAAAAATAGCTAAGAGCATACAGATAGTCCTAGATACATTAGGAATCAAGTTAAAGAAGAAAGAATTGAAAACATTTGTAGAAGCACTAGATAGTATTTGTCCTTGGATTTCTAATGAGGAAATAATTGATATCGGAGTCTGGGAGAGGGTTAAAAGACAAATTAATCAAACACTCCTGCATAGACAACACTTTTTCTTTCTGGGCCATAATTTCTGCGGCCCTGAGTCACAGGCCAAAAGCACAAATAATGCAAGCAATTAATGAAGTGGAAAAAACTCTGGGGGAAGAGAGGGAAAAACGCAGCCGAACCTCTCAAATGCCCTCAGAGGCGGGAGATAAAGAGGAAAAATTGAAACCAGAGGAAAAATTGAAATCTCTCTTAGAAAAGAGATCTCCCCCCATAACTCCCAGCACTCCGCATATGGAAGAATGGCCACCCGACCCTGAGAGGGGGTCGTCTTGGCCCACGCAGAAGGAGACACCTAATGATTTATGCGGGGCCAACCCCTCCGATAGAACTTTAAAATCAAAGGCTTTAGCAACTCTAGTTGAAGGAAGAATAGCCTCTCTCTCTATTGCAGGGGAGTCCTACACCCCTCTGCAGAGGTGCCTCCATAGGGCTCTGGAGGCAGGGGAAGATGTCCCTAAAGAGCTCTTTCCCATAATTGAAGTTCAGGGACCCCAAGGGCCAATTAGAGAACATCGCCCTCTTGAATTTAAGTTGGTAAAAGAATTAAAAACTGCTGTGAATCAGTATGGCACTGCAGCTCCTTTCACTTGTGCTATCCTGGACTCCATTGCTGGATCCTGGCTAACACCAAGTGACTGGATTGCGGTCTACCGTGCAGTTCTTTCAGGGGGAGATTTCCTCCTGTGGAATTCCTATTACTCCGAGCAATGCAAGGCGGCTGCCATCCGCAATGCTAATGCCGGAGCTATCATGGCAAATTATGACATGCTTATGGGAGAAGGATTGTTCGAAAGCATGCAAGCCCAAATTGGCTATGCACCCCCAGCTGGGGAAGGGGTTTTTGCTTGTGTTTTTCCACAGAATGCTAATCAATCATGGTGGATCCCGTAGCATTTTATCAAACAGATTAACGCAAGCCGTGAAAAGGACCAAAGACAATCTTCCGGTGTTATTTTGTGGGATGTTGTTACAGACTCTGTTAATCCCTTAAAGATAAACATTGTGAAGCCTCCTCCTAAGAGCTAATTCTTCCTGCTTTTCCATCTTATGTGCTTTCTCATACTTTGCCTATCATATTATTTGTTACATCCACAAATAGAAGGTTAATAGTAAATGAGACAGAAAAATATTAGGAAAGCTATAAGTAAGAGTTATGCTTTTGCATCTTGTTAAAAAACAGGTAAAGAAAGATATACAAGACCAGAAGCCCTAAGTATATAGAGAAGGTGTATGGAAATCATATAAAAAGGTTTACATTTACAGTCAAGAAGAGCTTTCATTCCTTTAACCCTAATTCTACAAGAGATCTCTGTTAAGTTTGATCTACAAAAATTTTGACTAGTCATAACTAAAAGATTTTATAATTCAATTGGCCAAAACCATCTGAATGCACTCGTTAAAATTGTCTTATATGTTTGTCTGTCTTAAGTGTTATATGTTTGCTCTAAATGTTCAAAGATGTTTGTATGTTCTTGATCAAAATGACGTCAAATATAAATAGATTGTTGATTTCTACAACCTGGCTTTATAGGATCAAATAAAAAAAATTAAAATATAAGTAAATATAAATCTTTAAGTTTGGATACGCTCCCGTCGGTGAATAAAGAAGCAGCTGCTCAGAAAATTTATTCTGATCTTTGTTCACTAATGGGAGCCACCAAAATAATTTTTTATAGCCTTATAAAAAGATATATCTTGTTAAATATGTTGTTGGGAATATTTTGTTGGTTATCAAAGGTCTGAATTGTAGAAATGTTATTGTAATATGTTTCTGATGGTTATTTTCTGTATAAGAATTCATATAATTATAATAATTACTGCTACCTTTTCTGGTATACAAAATGTTTTGCACTCATATTGTTTGACCATGCAGGTTTTCCAGCATATTGTTTATGAGAATAACCTTTTGGTCCAGGTATTCTCCCTTCTCTTCTGCTCCACCTACTTATGGTTACAGGTACATTTATAGACCCACCACTATCCCTGAACAGCTTGAAGCTGGGTTTCCACTGAGGAGACCAGATTGGGACCCCAACACTGGAGCAACAGAGAGAACTCAAGGATGTGTCTTGGTGCACAAGCAGAGACTTTATTGTCCAGAACAAGGATTCATTGGAACTGGTTTGGCTATATTTCAGCAACGAATGGACTTATTAAATGAAGAAGTTGAAGGATTATGATTACATACTCGACTGGACTGTGATCCCAGGTTTCAACAACTCTGTCTTACTCCCTTTCCTGTCAAAAACCATTCTGAGGAAGTTAAACGGCTCTCATCATTGTTACGAGGGTCTTGGAATCGGATATTTTTAAATCTAACCAATCAGTTATCATTAGATATTGAAATTCTGTCTGGTGTTCATGCTAATCCTACTTGGCTTGATTTTGATTTTGTTACAGAAATTTGGGAAAATTTGAAAAAATTGTTTTCGCCTTCATGGATTGTTATTTGGCTTATTGCTATTGCTGTTATGATTGGGTTATGTATTATGGGTTACTGCATGTATCGATACTGGATGCGTTCTCAGTTTAAGTATGATCGGCTTGTTATGGCTGTGCAGGCTTCTATGGAAGGTGATGCAGAACGTGCGTCCATTTATTTGGCACAAGCACGATCCGTTTGAAACCCCACTCGCTAATAGAGTTCCAGTGACGGGTAAGGATGAGGACCTTTCCTACCAACCTAAGACAGGTGCCCCCGCTTGATCGTGGGTTAACCGAAGACGGGTAAGGAGGAAAGCTACCCTCACCGCCTAAGACAGGACTCTATCAGTTTGAACGTCATCTTGGACGTTCACAGAGAAATGGGGGAATTGTGGGAGACTGCCTGCAAGACAGCTGGCTGCTTGCATTGCAGTTCCCTGAGCGAAGGAGTTGCTATGTTGTAAGTTCTGATTGGCCGTGATCGGCTGCCATCTTATGGCATTATTTATAATAACTATTTTGTAGAGCTGAGTTTCGCTTTCCAGAAAAAGCACCTGTTTCTTGTAAATCATGTGTATTCTGTGGAGCCATAATTGTGGCCTTGTACAGTTATCCTTGAGATTGTTTTTCATCCTTGAAGTTGTTTTTACTTTCATACTATTGCCTGATATAAGTGTGAGCCGTCTGGCAGAGAGTAGTAGTAGTAGTAGTAGTAGTAGAAGTAGTATTAGAAGTAGAAGTAAAAGAAGAATAAAGAAGAAATCTGTTTGAATCTGAGCATGACTCAGTGTGTTTACTCTCGGTGAATCCTCTCAGGTTCGGGGCCTGCTGGCAGGACCCCGACGTCGCGGCTCACGACAAGAAAGACATTTCCAACCATGGGAGGCTCCCACAAATGGACAGGGTATCTTAGGAAGTGTTTAGACCGAGGCCAGACAAATACCTCCTGGCGATGCTGGGGGAAGGATCACTACACTGGGTGGGAAGGTGGGCTAAAGGTCTCCAGTTCCTCCCAACTCTCAGACTGACCATGAGGCCAAGTGGCAACAGGAGGCTTACCTGGCACAGGGAAATGTTGGCATAAGGCTTTGCCTGCGCATGCAAATGCGCCTTAGCTTCTCGTTTATCACCATGTACGAGCAGGATTGGTTTCTTCCTGAAAAGTGACACAAGTGTTTAAGATGCATCATTCATGAAGCTGAACTTTCGCCTCTCTGAGGAATGCTGGTCTCCTTACCACTAGACATTTGCTTCTGGCTGTTGTGGTGGCCGAGTACAGGGCCCCACACACAGCTTCGGGCGGGAGATGCTCATTCACTAGCTGTGCTTGCTACCCTTGTAAAGGGACCCTGTGGCCTGATCCCGAAGGCTGCTGTAACAGAGGAGCTGAGACTCAACAAGTAATCGAGCAATTACCTTCTTTGGTCCAAAGTAGTACATAGGAACCTTGGTGTTAATATATTTGAGACCAAATGGATTAAAGATACACAGTCATCACTGTACATACAGAATTGTTTTGGATCAAGCAATGGATTCACTCTGGCCTTCTATTTACCAGTTCCTACTAATTGCTCTGGATACTGCGAAGGAATTAGGATATGATAGAAAACAGGCCCAAGCCCACAGCACAGTGCAGATTTATTAACAGGTTGTTAGATTCTAATGAACCACAGCCCAAAGTACATTGCCACTTAAAAAATTCCAAAGACTATATAAGAAGACTCTTCAGGAAAAGATTAAAAAAGCTTTTAAGGGATTCTTGATCTTCAATTAATTCAAACAAAGATGATCCTTGGAAATCAATGTATCTTTTTACAAGCTCTCCTAACACAACAAAAATTGGATTTTTCTTCAACAAGCAATCAAGAAGATAAACAACTGCAGCCACTTTCACATTTATCAATTACGCTGCAGAAGGATTCTCTGCCACACATGAAGGGGCAACACTCAACTACAAAGAAACACCGTAGGAAATGCAATTTCAGTACTGATGCCTTATGCCCATGTAAGTTTTATTGAAAATTCTCAGATAAAACAAAATTACGAAGCACACCTTCCTAACTACTTGAAAAAAAAAAGGGTGACGGCTAGAACAGCAGCATAGAGAGTAATGTAAGAAATATTCATGCATGCCTTCTGCAAAGAAATGTTACTGGACCATAAAATCCTAAAACAATAACAGATTAATAAAGGTTGAGGTCTTCATTTAATTCCTTCAAATTTATGGGTTCTGTGAAGTATTATAAAAAGGCAGCATCCACACAATGCAGTGAGTTACAAACCTTCCTGAGTTGGAATTTTTTTTTTTTTTTTTTTT